TTGGCAAGGAGTGTGGTTGAAAACAAGTAAATGAGTCAACAGAACCATGTCAGAGTGACACATACTAAGATGGAGAAAAGATTTACGGTGTACCAAGGTCGAAGGGGTTTGCACGAATGTTCATTCCCCATTACTCTAGGTTTTGTACAGGTGAATGTTTCCAAGTGCTCTGAAGTATCTCATTTGCTACTTTTTCTACATCAATACTGTCAATTATTAAAGGTAATGGGGGGAAAGGAATCTATAAATTTTTTTACCTTAAGGTTATTATGCATAGCCTTAAAGTTATGCATAATAAAAGTCCTACAGATACCGGCTGAAGGAATAATTCAGTGAAAGTAAAATGGTGAACAGCAGATGGATCCTATGGTGTGTGACCGGGCACGCCCACATGACAACCTTTTACACTAACATTGTTGAGGATGCGCAGCCCCGTGGGCAGCTCTGCCGGGAATGAGACATGCAGGTGCAGCCTTCAGAGTGTTACTCGAAAGCCAGGCGTGGTGGGGCACGCCTGCAATCCCAGCACTCGGGAGGCTGAGGCAGGAGGATTGCTGTGAGTTCGAGACCAGCCTGGGCTACAAAGTGAGCTCAAGGCCAGCCTGAACTGCATAGTGAGACCCTGTCTCAAAAAGACCAAAAATAAAAAGAAGAAACAGAGTGTTACTCGATCAAAACTGGGCTGTGGAGTTGGAGAATCCCACCACTGTGGTCCTCACTGATGACACTGGGGAGAAGCAGCGCCGCCCTTGGCCCACAATGCCCTCGCCAAGCAGGCAAGGAGCCTTGGCAGCGATCCGACCTCACTGGAATTTCAGCTCCGCTCACCCCTTTACCCACTGTTTCTCAAGTTGCTGACTTGACTGTGAGTGTCCTCCGAGGCAGAACTGAAATCACCGCTCGCCAGGCCAGTGCATCACGTAAGCAGTGATGGTGAAGGCGTGGGGCCGAGGTGCGGACTCGCTGCTCCTTCTGCCCGCCTGACCCCGCCAGCCGCTTGCTGCTGAGCACGCATTAGCTCAGGTCCTCGGAGAAGCTGAGAGGATGAATGAAAGCTTCACCGAGAAAGGCCAGCAAGGATTGAGGGGGAGAGCCAAGGCAGGGAGGAAGGGAACAGCGGGTAGAGCATACCTAGCGCACAGCACAGACTCAAGGAAGCCTGGGCCAATCGGGAGTCCCCGGACAGGAAGGCAGCAGGGGGAGGTCAGCGCTAGTGTCCTCACCAGCACCACGGCCAGGTCCTCGCCACTGGTCTCAGGCCCACAGCCAGCCCTCACCTCCGGCCCCGCTGCCCATTTTAATGCCTTCCTCCCAGCCATTACCTTGGAGGGCCTGGGCAGTGGCTTCCGTGGCGATGTGACTCAAATCTTGATTCCCAGTTCCCACGGGCCTTCAAACCACCAGGCCTGTCTTGGGCCGGTATGCTGCACACATGCAGACAGTGCCCAGGCTCAGGGAGTACCGGAAAGGCCCAGGGACACCTTCTGCGTCTGCACAACTGCCTCCTGGCCCTGCGCACTTCCTCCTGCTGAGGGTGGACCTCACCTCCCCCATGGGCCCCGGGGACAAGGGAGCCAAGGTGACCGCTGCACTTTGTGACTCAGCGGGACTCACACAGTCCTCCGGAGGGCCCAGCTAGTTGGGAGGACCAGAACTTTGGGCCCTTCATGAGCCCAGAGTTTTGGGGACAGGAAGGACAGAGTTGCCCACAGGGAGTCGCGGTACGTGGGACTACGGCTACTTCAACTCCTCACTCCTGGGTCCTTGTGTTCTTTGTGTGATGACAGCTCGGTGGAAAGGGCTCTGAGCGAACACATAGCCTCCAGGACAACAGCCAAGCCAGTCACAGAGGCCCCTCTCAGGGCCATCCGGGGACTCTGCAGAGCTGGCTGCTCCAAGTGGAACTGTACGTGATGTGTATCACCAGGCCCTGGTGGTCATGGGCCTACTCCATCCATCCATTCATTCATTCATTCATTCATTCATCCCCTGTGCTGTGGACCGAACCCAGAGCCACATGTGTGCCTGGCCAGTGTTCTACCGCTGAGCTACACCCCAGCCTTTTGGGGGAAGGAACGGGCCTCTCACTAAGCTGTGCATGCCAGCTTCAAGCGTGCAGTCCTCCTGCCTCGGCACTGATGTCTGGGACTCCAGGCTCGCCCGTGTGCTCCTGATGGCCTTGTGGAGCAGCGTGTCATCCGGCCCTGGCCGGGGAACGCAGTCCTCGGGTGGCCTCCTGTCTTGCATGATATTTCCGTTCCACCACGCCCCTCTCCTCTACCTCTCAACCCCTCCTCTGCCTACTTCCATGGCAGCTTGCCCTTCTCCACCTTACCCAGGTTTTGCTGTCATTTTTTCTAGGCTTCTAGAGCCATCCCACAGTAAGTGTGCCTCACCCTCAAGGCGCTGGGGTGTGAGCTCAAAGAACTTGGGCACTCCTCCTGGACACGGCTACTTCCCACTCACGTAACTGACTGCATTTCTCCCGTGGTCATCACAGAGCTCTTCACACGCTACACACGGAATTCACACTTTGGGTAGCATCTTCACGACAGCTGCACCTTATGCTCTTGGACTCATCACACGTCTCACCTAATCCTCCACTCACGTGTATAGGACACACTGCACACCCTGCACTATGCTAAGACCTGTGTGCACACGTCACCCCATTAATCCTGGCTTCCCCCTCTGGGGTCCTAGCTGAGATACCAAATTTCTGTGTCCTTGCACTGTATTATCTGCAAGAGAAGAAAATCATAAGGTCTACTTTATAGGGTTAGCGAAAGGATTGAGAGTGGTAGTTACCATCATTTAGTTATCGATATTTGCTCAAACTTTTTTTTGCCAGCCTAGAATACACAACAAGACCTTGTCACAAAAACAAATGTGTGTATATGTACATCTAGTATCAAACAACCTGACCGTCCAGTTTAATTATTTTACAGGATGCCAATGTAGCAATGTCTGGAAAGATAAGCATCAGTTTGTTCTAGAAACACTCGACAGCCAGGCATGGTGGCGCACACCTGTAATCCCAGCACTTGGCAGGCTGAGGCAGGAGGATTACTGCAAGTTCAAGACCAGCCTGGGCTACAAAGTGAGCTCACGGCCGGCCTGAACTGCATAGCGAGACCCTGTCTCAAAAAGACAAAAAAAAAAAGAAAAGAAAAGAAAAGAAAAGAAAAGAAAAGAAAAGAAACACTCGACATACAGCACAAAGTATTTTACTACGGCTTTGATCTAATTAAAGGCTTTTGTGGTTCCTGTAATTAACCAGCAATGTAACAGAATTAGCACAGCGAAGCTAGAATGAGTTCTGCACAGCAGAGCTCATTTGTGGTATTTGTTTAAACTGGTAGAGGAGATGACAGCCCAAGGATGCTTCACTTCAAATCTATTCAGCTTTAGAGGAAGCTCGGAGTGTAGCTCAGCAGCACAGCACCTGCCTGGCAAGTGCACGGTCCTGCGTTTGATTCCCACTACCAAAACACAATGTAGTTTTAGAGGACTGTCAGATTGCTTTGGACTGACTCACTAGCTCCAACAAAGCAGGCTTATTCCCCTTTCGGAATTTAGCCTGCTGCATTAATTAGAACACTTTGTGAGGAACGGCTTTCGTTTTTGTTTTTGAGATAACTGTGTATTCCAGGCTGGCCTTGAACTCACTATGGAGCTCAGCTGCCCTTGAACTCATGGGGAGCCTCCTGCCTCAGCCACCCAACTGCTGGGGTGTTAGAGACCACTACAAAATGGTTCTGGGCAGGATTTAGTATTAACCAACTGGCTTTCCATGTTTACATGTGAGTTGTGCATAGCTTAGGCCCCTTGTCTGAAGAGGGGCAGTGGACTCATAGTAAGTGAACCTCAGAGTCACGGGTCACCACTGAGGCCTGTATTGGCCTGTGAAGCTGTGATGCCTCAAAGGACAAAGTAAGACCACAGCTGAGGATGTCTGGCTCCAACCCCAGTTAACTACAAAGAGACCGCAGCTGCAGGCTCCACACTCCTACAGTAAATACCAACCTAAAGATAAGATAGTTCTCCTGATTGACAGAATTTACTACTTGGGAAAATTCTCCCAAGGTCCTGCTCAGATTCCCACGTATTCTTGAATATTCCCCTTTGTTTGTAAACCAAATCAATACAGGCTGCCCAGAGAAGTCTTTGTCTAAATTCAGAGAATACTGAAGCTATAAGAGAGTTAGACCCTCCTGGAGCCCTGAAATCATTTCAATTATCTCATTTATTTAAGCATTCTCCATCCACTTGTTTGGGAGATTGTGGGCCTGATCAGCTCGCAATAGCTAAGGGTTATTAACCCAATACTGGGATTACAGGCGTGTGCCACCACGCCCGGCAAAACAGGTTTATTTTTAGAAATTCCATTTGTCCCAGCCAATCCTCTCCCCACCCCCTCCCCACCCCCCCACCCCCGTACCGGGAATCGAACTCATGACCTTGCGCTTGCCAGGCAGGTGCTGTGCCACTTAGTTAAATCCCCAGCCCCTTAATCCTCTTTAAAGTGTCTTTCCAAAGAGGTACAGACATACTACTACAGTGATCCATATACACCTATATACACCTTTGTAGCAGCAGAACTCATACTAACTAAATCCTGGAAGCGGCCTCTGTGTCCATCAGTGGATGGGTGGAAAAAGAGACTGCGGTGTTTACACACCGTGAAGCACTGCTCTGCCGTGAAGAAGGATAAACTTGAGTCCTTTGTGGGGAAACGGGTGCACTTTGAGACCATAATGTTAAGTGAAATAAACTGGGCAAACGACTTGGTTTCTCTCACATGAGAAATCCAAAATATAAATGAAGAGCAAAATAAAAGATCGTAGGAAACAGGAGCTGAGGCTTTTGTAAGCGGGGGAGGGAAGAGCCAGAGGAGGGAGGGGGCAGGCAGGGTCGAAGGGCATGCAGAGGTGGCCTATACAGGCCCCGGCCCCCTTTGAGGAACGTGGTCATTGTGTGCTGCAAACACGGACTCACAACAATTGAAAAATAAAAAAGATGAGGTTTATTTTTAGGTGCATAGCCTTCATGTGTCCCCTGCAGGCCACACTAATCCTGCAGCTCGTGCAGCGGCCCTCGCTTCCAGGGCTGCTCCCAGCCGGGCTCTGCCGCTGCGGTGACCGAGGGCATCCCCTCACTGAGGGCACAGCGTGGCACTGGAGCTCCTCCCACTGGACGCACTCTCCCCTGGTGACTGGTGACTGAGTACCAAACCTGGGAGGAGTCCTGCGGAGGGAGGAAGGCCCGGAGAGGGCTCCCGAGTATCTTCCCCATGGTCGGTTGAGTCTGTGGGTGCAGGTCCTGCAGACAGAGGGCGGCCGTACCACACGGCTCGTGTTCCACTCGTGGTGGGCCTCTAGAGTGCCTGCCACCGGTCGGGCACGGGGTCTGGTGAGCTTCTGGGGTAAGGAAGGACAGAAAGGAACTGTAAGAAAGCTACAACGCAGAAGCCAGCCAAGGCTCTTTTGTCTCTCAAACATCTGGGTACCCTGGGTTTGAACCCCTGGCAGGCAGAAGTTTAAAAAGTCCTCTGGGTGCCCTGTCACCCCCAGAAGGACAGTCCAGTCCCTCCTCCACGCTCCTCTGTCACACAAGGCAGAGCGGACCCCGAGCCCTCCTGGTTGCCCATTGAAGCGCTCACACGAAGCTCCAGGGGTGGGAGGTTCTGGGGAGGAGCCCCATCTCCCAGGGGAGAGAAGAGGCAGGGGGCGGGGAGGGACGCATGTCCCTGGCACATGTCCTCCTTCCTTCACCCCCAGAGGTCCACGTCTTCCTGCAGGGCACCGAGCAGATCTCCCCTTCTATCTGTCCTCCCTCCCAGCTCTCCGCTACGGCACTTTCTGAGCCAAATCCTGATGGCTTTGTCCTCAGGGAGAGCTCTGGCACCAGCTGTGGAGAGACAGTTGTGTTTCTTCCGCCCTGCCCCAGAGCTAAGCGGCCGGTGACTCTGCGGCCCAGCCGCCGTGTGCAATGGGCTCCTGGCTCCCTGTAAGTCGGAGCTCTCTGGACCCGCTCCCTGGAAGCGTGTCCCTTCTTGCGGTGCAGCGCCCTCTCTTTTCCCATCCACCTGCTGCCTCCCCAGCAGGCCGGCTGCGCCCCTGCCCAGCGGGTTCAGCTCTCCCAGGCTCGGAGGGCCCTGGCCCGGGGCCATGTGGTTAATGCCCGTGCTTGGGTCTCAACCCCTGGGAGCTGCAGGGTTCATCTCTTTCACAACACTTTCTCTCCTTTCCCTAAAAATGTCACACGGCAAGAGTTCATTCCAATTCATTAACTTTAAATACCACAACAATGCTTTGAGCCTCTCACCAGTTTACTGGACACTGCTAGAGACGTCCACTTGTGTTCTAGCCAGGAAGAGCCGAGAAAGGCATGCACATGACTCAGTGTCCCCCGGGCCCTGCCACCTTCTTCTTTTCTCAGGGTCCCCTTGTGAGGTGACGCGAGGTGACCTGCTCAAGGTCCCCCACTGTGCAGCAGGAAGTGAGACTTGAACACAGGCGGCACAGTGAGCCGCAGAGCGCTGTTCTTTTCCTGTGGAGTCAGGAGGCCCGGCAGAGACATTCAGATGCTCATTTTCAGTAGGCGGCAAACTAAGCACATCCCCCGAAGCAGGGTGCCGCGGCGCCAAGCAGAGACCCGCCCCTAGGAACTTAACGGGTGGCTTTACCTCCTGGGCTTCGGGTCAGTCACTGTACACACAAGTGTACAAAGTTCAAGTCAACACTAAAGGAAATAACCTATTTATTCGTAAACACCCAGCAAGTTGTCCTTCCTTTGGCTCTTCGAAGATTGCGCAAGCTGCCTTCCTTCAGGAGTGCAGTGTGAACGCCAACACTCAGGCCCAGCATCCGGACACGCGTGACAAGTGTTTGCTGACTGTATGAACGCCGCACATTATTGAGGAACCACATCGGCCCACTCACTCTGGAGCAGGTTAGCCATTGACCCAGCACTGCCCGCGGCAGCCCCAGTCCCCGGCATCTTTTGGAGGCTTTTTCCACAGGCACCTCTGCGCCCTTCAACATGGCACTTTCGGAGTTCTGCAGTCAGCCCAGCTAGGAGCAAGACGGTTTCAGGCACGAGCATTACAAAATGGAGAAGTTGTGGGGTCAGCGTTTGGGGCTGTGGAACCACTGCCCGGTCCCTCAACTACACCACGTATTACCAACTTGTGTTTCTAAGACCGCAGGCTGGGCAGTGAATCACAGATGGGTCATAGCTCAGCCCATTCCTACGTGATGTGACCTTGCACACTACTATGTGAAAGCTCAGTTTTATTTTAAAGTGAGGGTGAAAAAAGTTTCTAAGGCTGTTGTGAAGATTAAGTTCAATAATGAATAGAAAGTACAGTCTCTGTCATGCCGTAAGCTCCACAAAAGGTGGGGTTTTTTTTTCTTAACAACAAACCAGGGCTCAAAGTTCTAAGATGCAAGGCAACAAAGGAAAGAGTCCCTGCTGCTGGGGAGCCCAGCCCCGAGCCTGGTCCCTGAGGTCTATCATACTGCCCCCCAGATCGTCCACCTTCCCCTCTGCCATGGGCACACCACAAAAACTTCCTGGAACCCCCAGGCTGGCAGAACTCCGGAAGTCTCCCAGCACGTCTCCCAGGCACTCTGGTACTTTCCCTTACCACACTTAGTCTTTGCAATTTAATTTTTATTTTTTTAACATATCTGTCTCCATTCTACCTTACCCCATCACAGGCTGAGAGTTTATAGATAGTAAGGACCACGCAGTTTATAGATAGTAAGGATCATCTTTGTACTTGAAGCCATTAACACTCTAGAAGCCTTGTGTGGATGGATGGATGAATGGGTGAGTGGATAGATGGATGGACAGGTGGGTGGATGAATGGATGAATGGGTGGGTGAATGGTGGATGGAGAGACGAATGCCCTGATGGATGGATGAATGAGTGGATGGGTGGGTGAGTGGATAGATGGATGGATAGGTGGGTGGATGAAGGGATGGACGGGTGGATGAGTGGAGGATGGATGGATAGATGGATGGACAGATGGACGGGTCAGTGGCTGGATAGATGTGTGGGTAGAGGAGAACAAGGGGTAGCAAATGACTTGGCAAAGTGATGAGGTCGAGGTGCCTAGGTTCCTAGGTAGGACAGTGTTTGTTACTCAAAGTGGCCCGAGCCTGGGTCTGAATACATTGCTATGTGACAGGATGTGACAGGACATGACGTTTGCAGAACTGCTTGCCTGGGCAGAGTAGCTGACAGACCTATGCATGTGCCCAAGCGACAAGCACGGCGGGCTGGTGACTGCTGGCAGGCCCAGGACCCAGGTGGGCTGACGCCCCCACACAGCTTGTTGGCTAATCAGTTAGGAACAAGCCCTTCCAGGCCGGGGAGCTGCCAGAGGACGGCAGACCTGGGCAGCGACTCTTCTCCCACTGCCTGTGTTGTCTGTAAACAGTGACGCAGCGGGAGAGGGAATGGGGACGTGGAACGATCCTGACCAAGTCAGGCCACCTGGAGAGGGCACCGCAAAGAGCCGCGAGCGGAGCGGCAGGTACTTCAGAACACGCAGCACTAGAGGCGGGGCAGTTACAGGCCCTAACTTTTCGGGAATCATCCACTGTCACTGGATTTGATTCTTTCTGTCAGGGAAACAGAAGGTGATGCTGTTTATTGATTGGCCCCCACTGGCTCCTGGACCAGGCGGTGTGAAAGCCTCCTCCACTGTACATTAGAAGGGCTCACACTGGCACCTTAAGATCAGCCGCATCCAGACTATTTCCACCCCAAAAACTGGCAAACCTCACAGTCAGGGTGACCCGCTCCTTCCCTTCCGAGAGCTGATGGGCAAACATGGGCCAGCGCGTACCACGGACTGTACCACAAAAAAGCCTGGTAAGCCTCCTCAACACCCCGCTCTCCAGATAGGAAGCTGGTGTTTAGAGGTTACACAACTTACTACAGTAAGTTTTTGGGGTTTTTTGGTACCAGGAATCGAACTCACAACCTGAGCTTACCAAGCAGGTGCTGTGCCGCTGAGCTACATCCCTTACTACTACAAATTTTCCAGTAGCACAGAAAGGACCAAAATTCAGACCATCTGCCTCCAAAATTCACACACTTAGCCACAGACAGCTCTGTGACACGTTTTAGTTTTAAAAAATTATACATAAGGAGAGCAAATCTGTCTTGTACCCTAGTTTGAAGATTTCCAGCGTCTAATCCGGTCAGCACATTGGCACAGTGGGCAGCTCGGAGCTCCTAACCCCACAGAAACATCAAAAACAAATACGCTGTCAGAATCAACTTTGCCGGATTGCTGAGGAGAAAAAGGGGGTGCTCACAGCAGTAAATAAATGCATGCTGAACCAAGAGAAAGCCAACTTCAAAGTGACAGAAAACTTGTGTGACATTTCACATGCCCTGTCGCTCCGCACGTGCCAAGGGTCAAGCGCAGTAGCCGGTCCTGCCATCCTGGGACAGTGGTCTCGGTTCCAGAAGGGGCAGACAGATGCCAGCTGTCACCTGTCCAGCACCTAAGGAAGTGCCACAGGTGCTGACGTCTCACAGCCGACTCTGAACCTGCCCTAGAAAAGCAGCAGATGTTGCTGAAGACGAGAACAAAACCCAGGTAGAAGGGTGCCACAGAGCCAGGCTGCAGAGCCAGGCCACAGGCCAAGCGAGACGCGGGAGGAGGTGCCCAGGAGCAGGTTTCCCTGGGAAGCTGAAGCCAAGAGCATCTATGTGCGCAGGGACCTCGAGGGCGAGGCACATGCCCTGTGCAAGGCACAAGCTGAGAAAAACCTGGTAAAAAAAGTGCTCAAGCTTTGATCCAGAGCTGATTCCCGAGTGCTGTGCCAGTTTGGCCCAAACCCAGTCCGCAAAGATGGAGAGGCTACTTTCTGTCTGCTCGCTTGGTTCCTCTGTGTCTGTCTTTTTAGCTCCTGACATTCAAACAAAATTCTATCAAAACACTCACTGGGTACAAGCTAAGGGCACAAGCTAACATCAGTGACCACCAGGGACAAAGAGTCAGTCTCTGCAAACCAGGCAGGGAAGTCACCAGAAAAGGTCACTACAGACCTCAAGAGTTCAACCAAACTTAAAATGTTCAGGCATCAAAGGGCATTACCAATAAACAGAACAAACAGCATGAGAGAAGATATGTGCAAATCACACACCCAAATATAAGGAATGTTTACAACTCAACAACAATAAAACTCAGTTTTTAACAATGGGCAAAGGAGTTGAAAAGACATTTCTTCAAAGAAGGTACACAAGGGGCTGGGGATTTAGCTCAGTGGCAAAAGCGCCTGCCTGGCAAGCGCAAGGTCGTGAGTTTGGTTCCCGGTACCAGAGAAAAACCAAAAAAAAAAAAAAAAAAAAAAAAAGAAGATACACAAAAGCCAATAAGTACATTTTTAAAAATTGCTCATAAGCCACCCTTGGTCCTGTAATCCCAGCACTCAGGAGGCTGAAGCAGGAGGATCACCAACAGTGCAGGCCAGCCTGGACTACACAGCAAGATCCTGTCTCAAAAAAAGAAAAAAGACCATAAGAATTGAAAGGGGAACTCAAGATGCTAGTGTTCACCATAGCATCATTCACAATAGCCAAGAGGGTGAATACTCCAAGTCTCTACCATGGCACAGTGGATAAACAGAATGTGGTGGGTGGTACAATACAATAATACGTGTCAACCTTAACAAACCTCTGATCGATGGGCGAAGCCTGAAAACGTAAGGCAGACAGTGCAGGGCAAATACTGTATAACTCTGCTTATCTGAGGCATCTAGAAGAGGAAAATCCATGCACATAGTAGGGGAGAGCTTGGCCCCTGCCGGAGGCACCCAGGCAGGGAAGCTCCTGCTTATCGAGTGCGGTTTCCGTAGAAGAAGCCAGCGGTGTTGGAAATACGTCAGGGTCCCAGTGGCGTCCAGCGCTGGAATGCGACCCATGCCACTGAATCTTACTCTTTGATGTGGTTCAAATGGTACATTTTATGTTAGATGCATATTTTGGCCACCATTTAAAAAAAATAAATTCAACTACTCACATCTGCCCAGCCCCCACTGGCTCTCCAGCCCTTCTCCCCCCGGCATGGTGCCCGCATCTCCCTAGCCGCAAGGTCCTTCTCCTTCGTGACCCTGGCACCACTGCAGAGCAAGGTTTACCGCCCACTGCTGGGTGCCACTGGCCCCACGAGGTTGGCAAAGCTCGGTCAGCATAGGAGACGGCACAGGGGGGGGGGGCTGCAATATGAAATGAGTGCGAAATGCAGCGCACTGGATAGGAGTTTGTGTGCAGGCAGGTGGCACCCATGTGAGCCCAGCTACACGGGAGGCGGGGTGGGGGCATCCTCAGCTCTCGGACAGGCTGGGCAGCTTAGTGAGGGCCTGTGTATATAGCAGCATGACTCCTTCCCTTCCTCTTTCACTGAAGAGGTTCTTCCCAAAAGTGATAAAGATATATTACAGGGATCCATGTTCATCCATGTTTATAGCAGAACAACTCATACAGCTAAATCTTGGGAGCACCTACATGTCCATCAACGGATGAGTGGATAAAGAAACTGGTATGTACGTGCCATGGAGCACTACTCTGCCATATAGAAGGATAAACTTGAGTCATTTGTAGGAAAATGGATGTACTTTGAGACCATGATGTTCGGTGAAATAAATCCGATACACGGGCTTAAAGATCACATGGTTTTCCTTATAGGAGAAACCCAGGGTATAAATAAAGAGCCACTTAAAAGGTGGATCATAAGAAGTAGGGAGAGAGATCTTTTGTGAATGGGAGGGGGCCAAGAGGGAAGGGGAGGCAGATAAAAAAAGAATTAAGGTGAGTTATGCACATGCACTGACTTTTACAAGGAATATGACCCTTGTGTGCTCAAACATGCACTAATCAAAATAAAAAAGCTTGTCGGGCATGGTTCCGCACACCCACCTGTAATCCCAGCACTCGGGAGGCTGAGGGAGGAGGATCATTGTGAGTTCAAGGCCAGCCTGGGCTATAGTGAGCTCAAGGCCAGCCTGGACTGCATGGAGAAACCCTGTCTCACAAAGATACAGATAAAAAATAAAAACAAAAAGGGCTAGGCCAGGGTTATAGCTCAGTGGCATAAGCACCTGCCTGGCAAGCGTAAGATCCTGAATTTGATTCCTGGTACCAAAAAAAAAAAAAAAGAAAAAGAAGGGCTGGGGATGTAGCTCAGCAGCACAGCGTTGCTTGTCCATCCTGTGCCAGGCCCTGAGTTCCACCCCGAGTGATGCAGAAGCTAACTGGGGAGAATGCAGGCAAAGATTCTGATAGCTTTGGAAACTGGCTCAAAGTGAGCGCAAGGCCAGCCTAAACCGCATAGTGAGACCCTCTCTCAAAAAGACAAACGCAAAACAAAAACCAGAAACTGGCTCGAGGCCAGGAGCTCTGCCTCCCAAGCCTCATCCCTCCAGGGCTCACGCACAAAGGTGTGGCACCTTGACCCCGTAAACAGCGATTCTCCTGCTTCAGCTTCCCAAGTGTCAGGATAATGTGTGCCACCTGTAATGCCTGGGTTTAAAAGTCAGATTGCAAAATTTATAAATCCTGTAGTCGTAGGTAAGAGTTGGGACTTTGGTGTCCTGTGTTGATTCAACCTCAGCTCCCGACACTCCGTGCCACAGACAGGGTCTGAGACCGGAGAAGTGGGCAGGAGGAGCAGCTCAGCGGTACAGCGTATGTTTAGCACGTGCGAGGCCATGGATTTGACCCTCAGTGCTGCGAAATAAATAAATAGCCGGGCATCGTGGCACACGCCTGTTTTTCCAGCACACCAGCTGAGGCAGGAGGATCGCTGTTACTCTATTTTTTGTAGGACATCCCTGGGTCCACAGCCTACTCCACAAAATCTTCCCAGTAGATGGTTCAGTGTTGGAGTATTTGATGGACATGCAGGTCTCGTGGGAGCTGTTGTACACAGACTTCAGGGCAGCTCCAGCGCCTTGGGAAAGTTGTCCCCTCCGCCCCCCAGAGGCCACACCATCACCGTCAGGGCTGGGGAGGGTCACCTGGGAAATTTAGAGCAGTGAAGCAACGTGAAGCCCTCAGCATAGCCCTGGACCTGGCATGAGACCCACGCTCCAGTCCTGGTTTCTAAACGTGAGCTTTGTGATTTTGGACAAGAAACTTTAACCTGCCGGGCGTGGTGGTACACCCCTGTAATCCCAGCATTCGGGAGACTGAAGCAGGAGGATCGTTGCAACTTCAAGGCCAGCCTGGGCTACAAAGTGAACTCAAGGCCAGCCTGAACTGCAAATTGAGACCCTGGCTCAAAAAGACAAAAAAAAAAAAAAAAAAAAAAGAAAGAAAGAAGGAAAGAACCTTCAAGGCAACTCTGAAAACCAGTCTCTATAGATTCAGACAACAGCTCACCTGCTTTCAGGAATAATCAGTTCAATTTGAAGGTGGGAAAGGCTCTACAGTGGGAAAGCCCTCGGTAACCCTAAAGCGCTCCACAAACACAACCCTCCCGCACAGCGAGCTGCCTGGGGTCTGGGGACCACACAAGCGGCCAGGTCCCCTCGCAGCGTCTCCATCCCACGGACAGGAGCGTCGCCCTGCTGCTGCCCTCCGGGAGACACAGGGGCCGCAATCCCGCGGGGTGCTCGTCACTGCAGCCACAGTTCTGATCGTGAATTCATCACCGCCGCGCAGGTCCGCTTGCAATCTGCCGCAGAGCTTGAGGTGGACACGTTTCCGCGAAGCTCCCAAGAAGTGCCCAGTGCCGAGAGCGCACACACGGGGCGGATCCCTGCCCACCTAACTAGCGTCAGCGCCCCCCACGCCCTCCTAACCCTCCGGGCCAGCGAGCGCTGTGAATGGACTCGGTGTGGCCTCTGGAGAATCCCCCAGCGGATCCCGCGGCAGCCAAGCCCGGAAGCCTTACGGTGCTCGAACTCGCGCAGGCCCGGTGCGCAGCTCTGTTTACGCAGAAAGGCAGCCCCTCAGGACGGGAAGACAGCAGAGGAGGGCAAGATGCACGACGGCATCAGGCAGAACACTTGAAACTTGATTAAACTGCTGACTGCTCGGATTAGAAATCCCTCACACTGCCCGCAGTTGACAAGAAACGACCAAACCAAAAGAAACACGGCTTTAGGCACTTTTTCCCCTTTTCTTCAAAATTGTCTCTGGAATTCTTTTCAGACAGGCATGAAGCACGGTCCTGGGTTGGACTCTACCCAATCACAGACATGATGCTTTGTTTTGTTTTCTGAGACAGGGCCTCCAGATATAGTCCAAGCTGGCCTTGAACTCACTATGCAGCCCAGCCTGGCCTCAAACTCAGGACAATCCTCCTGCCTCAGCTTCCTGGGTGTCAGGATGACAGGCATACGTCCACGCCCAACTGGCATGAATCTCTCCCACATCCTTACCCTGCTTTCATTTAGTTGTCATATCCCGTCGCATCATCTTTTCAATACTTGGCCGCTGCCCCTTTCCCTCACTGTCACCATGGCCGCTCTGGTCAAGGCTCCTGGCTGCTCCTGCTCAGGTCTGCAGCCTGTGGGGCCCGGC